CAATCAGAAAGTTAGAATAGTCGATAGAAATGTACAAGACAGCATATCATAATAAGTGAAATGTTGAAAATGTTTATGCAGCACTTCAACAGACCGTTAAGCATGACAATGTACTATATAGAAATTTCTCCATTTGTACTTCATTTTATGGTCAATAAAAATTCTATTTGACTATGAAGGAAAGATAAATGAACTGGAAAAACTTTTTTTTTTGAGGGAGTCATACTAAAGTAGCGTCTGGGTATGCCTGTGTGAAGTACGCCGGTCTAAGTTCGAATTTCGAGCTGAAACTTGGCTTGTTTATCGACACTTTCACGACAATTTTCGACATCTATTTAGTTTTTTTCGACACCCTTCAGTTGTCGAGATTTCAAGGGTTGAATTTAGATCTCTACAATCATTGGAGGTTGCAACATTTTGTGACAGAGAGGAGAGGGGGGGGGGGGTCTAAAACTTGGGTCCATTTTCAAACAATCACTTAATTATAATTATTGAAAATCGTTATAGATTTTCTATGAAAAATCTTAAATACACCATGAACCCCCCTCCCCATCCCCATAATTATAAAATATTAAACATCATAATTGAATGACTCCAAATATCCAAAACATAATACACACTAGAATTTCTATTGAATTAAAACATCTGCTATCGATATTTCTATTTTACAAGAACTTCTTAAACATTTGAATAGCTGAATGTATTGAACATTTGTTATCCATAAAAAGTGCTTAGAGAAAAGGCAAAAAAAATTATTGGGGATTTCAATAAACTTTTAGCAAATACTTTAACCTCTTTATATATTTATATCCAAGCATGGCGTGCCAAAAGAACTGAAATGATTTTTATATTATTCTTGGGTAACCTACATTATCCGTCATATTTCTCTTTCTAATACATTACATGCATTACATTCAGAACTTTGGTCAAATGACTTTTTCTCTGCTTTATTGACATTTCATTGTACAAATATACATTTTGGATAGGAAAAAAGAATGATTCAATATTAATGCAAACAGAATATTACTTTCGGAGTGAATGTATTCTCGGATAAAACTACTAAAAGTACATATTGTGAAATGGCTATATGATGTATTCATGCGTTGGATCCTCTTTATGTTCATTTTATATTTATTTTGTAAAGGATTTCACGACTTATAGTTTCTTTAGATTCAAACCACAGATCGCTAGTTTTTCACATTTCCCTTTAGGGGTTGTTCACTTATGACGTCCGAAATGAACGGTCAATTCTGAAGGTACTGGGAAGCTATTTTGCTATAAACTCATAAACATACATCAACTCAATCCCTCATCATGATCTAAATATTTTAAAAGTCCAGGATGAAATATTAAACAAAGCCATGTCATGACTGCGAAGAGTGACTTGAACAGATACAAATTTTGCATCTTCTTGGATATTCACTACAACTGAATTAATGAGTAAACTATTGCTTTTGTCATGTTGACGAACCGTTCTTTTTGTCTTATTACAGTTGCATGAATTTTATAATATCCTGACACAAACTCTAAAGCAGCACAATACTGAAGAGTATAATTGTCAGGTGCCATCTACATTGAATCAGATTTTCCGGAACTATAGCCATTTTGTAACAATGAAAGAGAACATTCTTGACTCTAAACTAGTCGTGGTAGAGTTTAATCAATCCACAAACTCATTATGCTTCTCTTTCTCTAGCTTTACGTAATGAAAAGTCATAAGCATTAAGGAAATCTTTGTCATGTCTAAAATACTTTAATTTTTATGTAAGATCGGCTTCTGGTAGGATTCGAACTTCAATATTTACACAATAATTGACTATAGTTGTTGATTAACTCAGTGCGAAGCTGATAAATCATGTTTTTAACAACTTTTGTCAATTTGAAATAATTCAATCAATCACTCATACTGGCAGATTTACATCCATGAAATTCAAAGTTTTAAATTCTTCTATGATTCGGTACCTTCGAAATATGTGAAATTGACACCTAATTTTATTAAAATAAATTTAAGGACTTAAAACATTTCAATGATTTGTACACGTGCTGCTGACCATTACACGACCCATACATAAAAGCTTAACATACTGTAACATACTGTAACATACATCAACTTGATCCAGTATACAAATATAGAAATAAAAAAATTTCGTAACAATTTCTTCATATCAAATTTTCAAAACCTTTCCAAAGTACCAAATTGTTATTCACGAAAAAAAAGGTCATTGAAACTTTTGCTACAATTTCTCAACGACGTATTTTTGCGCATTTCAAAAGGCATGAAAATCACACAATCTAGAACCTTAAGAATCGAAACATAAAATCAAAAAGTACAGTAAACTTATACATTATAGCTATATTGATTATTCACGTCTGTAGTATTATTTTATTACAATCGTTGGCATTGAAAATCATAAAACGATTTCGCAAAAGCTATAAATTTATATTTTCAATTGATGGCATAAGCAAAATAATGAAAAATGAAAGCTTTCGAAAATGTCTATAATAAATTCCGAGTCTTATAGCTTTGTCTCGTGGTAATAAGTCATTCTAATTTTTGTGGTGTTGGTAGCAAAGATGATTAAATGAGCTCAGGTTATAGATTTTTTTGAGGATAATTATTCATGGCTTCGGTGAGATGTGTAACAGGCGCCATAATGTCTTAAAATAGGTTTGGAATCATGATTTGACAGGACTACAGGAGTTGAAAGTTACTAAGTTCATTTTAAGGATTGTAAATCGATGTTTCTATTGTTTATGTCCATTGGTAATATGAAAATATTGCCAAAAATCAGTTGACTTAAAATTAGATTAAGGCACACAACTAAGCAGAGTATATTGATGCTTCTTCTAGAAGGTGTGGGTTCGAGTCCTAGCTTGCATAGAAAATTTATTCTACATTCGTACGCTTGAACATGTCAAGACTATCAAGATGTGAAGCTTAGGTTTACCAACTTTATCATTTTAAAAGTCGAACACAAAAGTAGCAATTCCTATACATTTTCCAATCTCAATTTTCATGTCACATAAGCTTCTAGTTTATCAAACAATCAATTTTATTTATTTTCTATATAACCGCTCCACGAAAAACATGCTCAACGGAAACTCTCATGATCATGATTAACTCGTTATCCATACCTCAATCTTGTCATGTACAGTTCGGAAATATGATCCAATTTAAAATTGAGGCGTATAAGCAGCAGCGGCAGAAGAAGAAAAAGAAAATAAATAAAATTTATTAAAGCCAATCTCAACTGTACTAAAGGAAGGAGGTTGAGGTACATAAACATAAAAAGTATCGTCAATAAAAAAACAAACAGACAAGCAAGCATGTATCATGTGGATATAAAATTCAACTATAAATATATATGAAAGAGCTTTTTCCATATAAATATAAATTTTGAATGTACATAAACGATTATTGATGCTAAACATCGTGAACTTTATTTTCTTTCTGACTCAATGCATGAGAATCCCTCGAAGATAAATATTCACATTATGTGAATTATTTCATGAATATAAAAAGAGACAACCCCGAAGCGTCGAGAGGTTATTCCATTTTATGCGCGTATCTGTTGATAAATATTGGGGCGAGAATGAAGTTACGATACGGATATATCAATGTCGCATGTTTACACATACATTACATTGACATTTCCCTTTTTTTTCGCGTCAATCGATTTTCAATTTAAATTCACATCGATTGAGTTAGTAAAAGAATAAGATGACGCTTTTTGGGGGCACTCATAAATGATGTATATAAAAAATATTGTTTTTTTGATTTCCAATCTTTTCTGTCTTGTGGATGAAAGTTTCAAATAGTGACAAAAATTTAGTAATCATTTATGAATGACCCCGTTTGTTGATAAATTTCATCACGTCCTTATTTCTAATAATTTAATCTATTCGCAAGATTTTGTTTGATAAGAAAAAAGTTTTCAATTTGGCTTTATAAATTCTTAATAATGTTGATATCAACCTTTATAATGTGTTCTTTAGAAATCCATTTTTAATCCTTTGGTGTTCTACATCCTTCTTAGAAGTGGGATGTAAAGATAAAAGTTTATCATAAACAAACATGTCATTGAATAAGGAAGTTTAAAATCATGTTAGGAATATTATGAACAAATATTTTTGTAAATTACAAGAAGGAACATATGAGCTTTACTGGAGAACCCACGCTAGTTCTTCTACTTAGATTTCTATTTCCAGTCATTGTCTGTTTGTGAATCTTGCTTATACTCTAGAACTCTGTCTGTTCGACTAATCTTTTTGGATTCGCAAACGCTTAGAGTATCAATTTTCTAAAAAGATTATGAGCACACTAGAGTCTCAAAATGTTGAGTCTGAACTCTATTTTTTACAGTAGTCTAGGTCCACATGAAGAATATAATGATAGGTTCCGTTGGTTTGTTCATCGAGGGCTGCTTAGACACCAAAGACAGACTGTGTTACACATTAGAACCTCCAACACTCCAAATTATCTCAGTAAATCCATCCTTTTATTACTTTATAAATCAGCTTAACTTTCCATCTACAAAGAACATCTTCATAGTATGAAAGAGATGAAAAGTTTTAATGTATTTGATTACACAAAGTTTAGTGAAAAAGAGAGAGACTCTAGCTTAATTTATATGTGTCAAAGCATTAGTATAAAACTTCAACGTTAATTAAGAAAATTACTTTCATGCAGCATGACGATGAAATTGATTGTGGAAGTAATAAACTAAAAGTATCGTTTGTTAGTCAAAAGTGAGATATAACTCTATTACAGCAGTGACTAAAAAAAAATATTGCGAATGGAGTCAAGTAAATAAATCTATAAACTTTTTCCTTTTCACGTAATTAAATTAAAAAAAACTTTCTCATCATTCAGATCATCTTGTGCTCTATAAATTCTACGTCGTACGGAATTGTCATTAAATCCAATGCTCATTCTAAATATTATTTTTCTTTCTATCTCTGCATTTAATTGATATCGTCTTTCATTTTATCATTCACAGATTTTACTTCCATTTCCATGCTGATGCTGCTGCTGCTCTCTTCATGATTAAGTCAATCTGTGGTGCTGGCATTTAATTGAGAACAAACCGAGAGGGTGTGAGTTCATCAGTGCATAGCAACAGCCGTAGTACCGGAAACAATAAAACTATACTAGACACAGACACAGCAAGCAACAACATCCACTATGACAATTATGACATCAAATAATTATTCCAATTTCACATCGACTTCAAATCACAGTGAAAATGGAGATGACTGCGAGAAACATGAGGCGATAATGTATGAAAGTATATTTGGTATATCGCTAGCGATGCCTCAGTGGGAGGCTATAGGAACAGCTGTAATTCTGTCTTTCATAATTATCATTACAATTGTTGGAAATGTACTTGTTATATTATCCGTTTTTACATACAAGCCGCTACGTATTGTCCAAAACTTTTTCATTGTATCATTAGCCGTGGCGGACTTGACAGTTGCCATTTTAGTGTTACCTTTAAATGTTGCTTATTCAATTCGTGGACGGTGGGATTTTGGTATACACATTTGTAAAATGTGGCTTACGAGTGATGTATTATGCTGTACGGCCTCAATATTGAATCTCTGTGCCATTGCTTTAGATAGATATTGGGCGATAACAGATCCCATAAATTACGCACAAAAGCGAACGGTAGAACGTGTACTAATATTAATCATCGGTGTATGGCTGTTATCGTTGCTTATCAGTTCACCACCTCTCCTTGGCTGGAATGATTGGCCTGATCATTTCGACATAACAACACCATGCATGCTTACACAAAAAAGAAGTTATGTAATATACTCCAGTCTTGGCTCATTCTTCATTCCACTCATAATTATGACAATTGTATACATCGAAATATTTGTTGCAACACGTAGACGATTAAGAGAACGTGCACAAGCATCGAAAATTAATGCAATGGCACTAAAAAGTAATATAGCAGCTAAAACAATTGAGCAAACAACAAACAATTCAGGCTCGGGTGGTGATCGTGAACGTGAATCAATAAGTAGTGAGCTTAATCACAACGAAGGACATATGGATGATGGCAATGGAATTATTTTAAATTCAAAAGATAAGAAGCGTAAGAAGAAAAAAGATAAAAAGAAAATGACAAAAGATTCCGTCAAGGATCATAAGAAGGATAAGCAAAAGAGTGCTCAAATGTTGACAATTTCAAATGAAAATTCCGTTACTGATGTACACGATAATGACAATGAAAATAATCAGCACGGGAATACTGATCTGAGAACATCTGTGATTGAAATCGATAAAAATAATAGCAAGTTGTGTGAGGTGGCGACTATGATAAATAATAACAATAACAATTCAATGTGCCATAAAAAGTCTGGTGCTGTTTATCAGTTTATAGAAGAGAAGCAGAAAATCTCGTTGAGTAAGGAGAGAAGAGCTGCAAGGACATTAGGAATTATTATGGGTAATATAAAAATATAAAGAAAAGCTGAATCCAGAGAGCGAGAATGTGAACTTTCATGTGATGAGATTATTGCTTGTAATATATTAAGCTGAATAGAATGGACACAAAGGGGATCTTCATCCATATCCTCTATATTTTCTCTTTTTGAGCATTTTATTCTGGAGGGAATGTCTTCTTTTTGGTGTTGTGTCGGTTGTCCTGTTCTTAGTAAAGAACGTTATCTGTTGACTTATTTGGTGAAAAATTAAATTTTATTAGTATTAAAGAAGCTGTCATCGAAGGTTCGGAAGGTTTCTATGTCAAATTGGAATCTAGAGTATCTATTAACATACAGTAGTGTGACGATAAGGTCTCTGCTGCAAAAGCCGAGCGATTAAGTTTGAAATATTGGAAACCTAGATCCGGTTTCTAGAGCTACCCGTGTCACCTCTCCTTAGTCTTATACCCAATGTTGTGGTAACCTTTATTAAAGATATGATTGGATCTAAAAGATCCAGTTGCAAGATTCTGTCCGAAAAAGGATCAACTGTATTCTTACTTATGAGGAACTGCAACTGAAAACTGTTGATTTGAAAAATAATTTGAGATAATGCATACAAAAATTTTATATGGAGGATACAAAAGATTTAAATCAAAATCCAAAAAAATCCCTGTGCAAAAATGATTTAAATCAAAATCCCTTTTTTAAATCATTGCAAAAAGATTTTGATTTTGATTTTTGATTTAAATCACCCACCCTGATCCTAGGTTCCCATCGGCACACATTGATTGTTTGCCTCGTGGCAAACATTTCAATGAATTTCAATGTGTGTCGATCGGGACCCCGGGTAGCTATTTAATATTTTTCTGAGACCAATTCAAGTGCTCCGTGATGCCCTTAATTCCTATTTGTGAGGACGTAAGTTTAATTCATTTTAGATGATCCATGTGATATGGATTAACATGATGTGCACGATATTTTATTATAGCTGTACACATAGAAGTAATAATCATCGATATAACTTTGCTGTTGACATTTTAACTGCTACCATGGCATCTAGTTTTGTCCTCAATATATCGATAGCCTTAATTAAAAATTGAAAAAGTTCATAAAAAGTCAGAATTTTCAAAGGCTTCTGTTTATTCGATTTAATTGCTTACTTGCAAATCCTGTAAGTTCAAGGATGAAACAGCGCTATCAAGTCACATGCTTAAAGCATTTTTAACTCTTCTTAGCTCTTCTACAAGAACATTTTCCATTATTTTTAATATTCTTTAGCTTAAATGCTTAGCCATTTATCTAATGTCGTTCTTACCATATTGGCACTGCTCAAAAGCCCAGAACTTTTGGATTATTTTCCTGATTAAAATGCTCTCAACATAAAATATCGTATGAATTAGGATATACATTTATCTTCTTTGCCTTGTTGTTGTTCATTCAGCCTACTGCTGCCTACGAATAATAATGGTAATAAGTTTAATTTTATGACCTATGAGCTCGTAAAATTTCGAATGGAAAATCATCATAAAATTTTTTTTTGGTGAAAAGAACATCAAAACTATTTTCAATCATTCATAAATCTTTGTTAAATCTTTATGCTCCTCCTTTTTATGAACACTCATTGTTTGTACCTAAATGAAATTTATGAATTTACTGTGGACGTAAATTTTGATAAAAATGGGAATTGCTTTTTGTTTGAGAATAATTGAATTTTAAAACAATGCTGAATGTCAGAATGAATAAACATTGGAGAGCTTCATAAAAATTTTGATTGTGCTGAAAAACTATTAAAAAACTTTTTTGAAAAGTGAAATTTCATTTTTATGATTTTAGCATTTTTACGAATATTTGACGTTGCTAATTGAAAGTTTTTAATAGTTTAAGGATCTCTAGAGTAGGTTTTATAAAATTAAGTTGCGAATCATCCAAATTACTGATGACTTCTTGAGTCTTTTATTTAAAATATATTTTTCTGCATCCAAAAGCAGTGTTGTCCAAACTGTGTACCGCGGTACACTGGTGTGCCGTAGAATTTTTTTGTAAATAACGCGAGCCGCATGCTGTGTGCGACTTTGGTAATGGCTTGCCCCTCAGGTGTGCCGTGGCTCAAAAAAGTTTGGACAATACTGTCCTAAAGACCCATTTTCCCATTTTCACCTCATTTTTCGCGCATTTTTGAAACTTGTTTTTAAAAGGTAGCTTAATATCTCACTTTGTCTGTTCGTTCGGGCGGAGAAAAACTTTTTAACTAGACATCGTAGAGAGTTCTAGTTTGATTTATTAGCTCAGGTCCATTGTTTTATTTTCGGGAAACGTTTTTAAAAGTCTTGAAACTGTGTTTTTGTACTATTATTAATGATTTTTATATTTCATATGAAAAAACACGTGATGAGAGCGTTTAGAAATTCGAATTTATTCCTACCGTTGAGAAATTTTGAATCTCAAAAACCGTTAAATTACAAAGCCTTTTTATGTGAAATTTTTTTTTGCAACAGACTGTTATTTATACTATAATTAATGCTTTTACTGTAATTTTTGGCAAGATACTTTCAAATGCATACGACCGTTACAAAATTTGAACTTTAGAAAACCGTTAAATGATAAACAGTTTATATAGAAGAATGAAAGATATTAAATTGATAAATATACTATAATTAATGAATTTTTGTATATCTTTTGGCGGGAACTTCTGTAAGTTTTTCAATCTAATCATCAAGAAGGTTGCTTGGAAGCATAAAAACTTTCACTTTTAGCCATAAGCAGTATGAAGTCATAAGTATTGTAGGAATCCTAGTCAGATTAACATTATTCTATGCTGAAGATTGATCGAATGGGTCTTTAATGGGAATCGAACCCATGTCCTTACAAAAAAGGGTTACAGATATCCAGTCTGTCATCAAACCATTCGGCCACAGATGCTTTTATTTCGTACTTGCAGATTCACCTACATCTGGCTCGATATTACAAAATTCAACGATAGTTAACCATTACAAGCAGATACTGTAATATCAGTCAAGTCTTTTTTCGGTAAACAGTCGAAACCAGTCAATCATCAAAACTTTTAATAATGTATCATCCCGAACTTTTAAATTTAATTTAAAAAAAATCCACTTCATTAACTTTTAAGCTCTAATAAGTTGCGACCTTTTTAAAATCCAATTCCTGCAAGTCTTATTAATAAATAATTGGAAAAGTTTCTGTCAGAATTTTGTGGACACAATGTATTTAGCAACAAGCGGCTACAGCAATTGTTCATTTTGCAATTTCAAGCTTTTCCCAAAATTGTGGCGAAACTCGAAGATATGTTGTTGGCATGTTAGCAACTTTTGGGTAGATAACTTTGCCTATCTGTTATTGTTAGCTTTGTTTTATCGTCCAGTGAGATTATAATATGTATAGAAATTTACACGTGGAACTGATAATAATCTTAATGTAAATATTTATGGATAAATTCGACCTCGACAATGTTAATAAAATATCGATGATTTATTGGGCAATTTAAGGGAATTTCCGAATCACAAAAGTCTGCTTAAACAACAATCCGTAGGAATAACTGCAATATAATAAGTAATTTCTCTATTATCCTAACCTCATAGACTCATTTATCCTAGCCACACTCAATATTGTTGATGTAAATCTAAACCAAAAAGTTTATATCAAATGAACACGACTTGCTTCAGAGTAATCATGAAATACATGAAATTGAATCGCTGCTTCGCTGTGGATTAGCAATCTGATAGTCTCGTTCAGTGTTGTTATCTGGCTGGTCTGTTTTAAAGATTTTTTGTTGAGACTCGCAAAATTATTACATTTTTGGTCAAGACAATTATGTCTCAGTTATAATCTTTCAGCAAGATCCTTCAAGGTTTTCATGCATTTGAACTACCATGAAGAGACCAAGGAATGCTCAGATTCTTATAAAATCATCTGTGTCTAAAGTTTTGAGGGTTCTGGGAGGGGTTGCCTTTGCTAGACTATGATCAATGATAGTTCAGTAGATCTATTCCAACAACACTGGAATCTTGTTGCCAAACGGAAGAATTTCTCGCATGGTTTATAGAATTAAATGACAAAGCAGTAAGCCATTAACAAAACGTAAAATGAAACAATGTCTTTGCATTTTTTTACAAAGACCCGTTAAATCATGGCACACAATAAACAATGCAAGCATACTCATCACGGAAAGAACAATGATAAATGCTCTAAACTTTCTTCCATGTTATCGCTTATCCTCTTTCATATTGTGCACAGTTTTTCATTAAATTCTTTTTTTTTCTGTTTTTTTCTTTCTCTTCCACAAAACATTTTTCTAGGAGTTTTCGTTGTGTGCTGGCTTCCATTCTTCCTCATGTAAGTTGCATTCTAATGGGAATTGTATAAATCCATTCATACACTCATAACAATATACACACACTTGGGGCTGTTCAATTGTTACGTAACGGCGTTAAAAAAAATATTCTTTGTAGATATCCCCAAATACAAATTTCATTTGAAAAACTTTGTTAAAAATTTTTGACCCCCCCCCCCCCCCTTCCTCTTAGCATAAAAAGCGAACGTAACAAGTGACAGACCCCTTTCATATTGTAAATGTTTTATGTTTCAAAAAAATGAGCAACCAACAAGGAAATGAGAAAAATAAATCTATTATATATTTTATTTCATTTGTCATTAGGTATGTAATTGTTCCATTTTGTGCTTCATGCTGTCCATCCGATAAGCTTGTAAATTTTATAACATGGCTTGGGTACATCAACTCAGCACTCAATCCCGTCATATACACGATATTCAATATAGAATATAGGAGAGCATTCAAGAAGCTCCTCGGCATTCGAGCATAATGGATGCTGCGGAAATTGTATTATCGAACAGTAGGAAGGATAAATAAATTAACGTTTGTTAATGGTAGAAGACAATTTTATTTTTATTTTTATTTTTTTCAATCACTTTTCTGTTCTGGTTCTATAGCCGTAATTAAGGGATGTTATTGGATGATTGAATTGATTAAAAAGGGTGTGATGACTTTGTAAGATGGGAATAAAAAAAAAATGGAATTTTATAGTCTTAAAATTATGAACCGGAAGAATTTTTTATAAGGATGGAAATCCATTGTGTTATGTAATAAATGACAAAAGAAAATTAACAAAAAAAATATTGAAAACGTGCCGTTATTGATTAAGAGACGAATCAAAGTTTTTCTTTCTTAATAATGAATAAATCAAGATGCAGGGTTGTTGGAACATTCTGTTGATTTTTTCATATTTCGTTGGTATTGAAGATTAGAAGCTGAAATCATTTAAGTTTTGCTTTTAATGGGACTATTTTGAGATTATTTAAGAATGACTTTAGAAACAATTTAAAAATTTTTGAGGCAAATATTAAAGAAAGTCCTCTTAATACCCAACTCGAACAGCAGAGACTAAAATATTGTCTACAAGGAAGTCAAGCAGATGGTATACCTTGATTCAAGAGGATACCATTTGATTGCTTTTGTCAAAAAACTGCCACTTGATTCTAAGTACACTATTCCCTTGACTGACAGAGATAACGTGTAGATAATGTTTGTTAATCAGGATAGCCTACGAAAAGATTTTTACCAACCAAAGATAGCCTGCAATATACCAAAAAGTTGAAGCTGCTTTAGCTTGCAAGGAAAGCTTGACGAAACTCGGGGTTTGCTTGACAAAATTCGACGATATTATTACGAAATTATAGTAAAGGTTTTAAATCATTTGGTGACAGCACACTGGTTAACTTCAGCCGCACTATGTAAAGTCCTTCAAGACTGTACTGTCGTGAGCAGTTTTCGAATGCTTGTCATCCTGAAAACACTCTAGATAATGATTGAGAGATCGGTCTCTAGTGAGAATTGAACCAACGTCGTCTTAAAGGAGGGTTATAGATATCCTAGTCTGTTGTCTAGCAACTCGCGCCACAGAGGCTTATCCCCTGTACTGACAGATTCGCCTTTCCATGGCTCGATATTTAAATTTCTTCTCTGATCTGACTATACACTTGCTGTTTTTTATTAATTTGTCACAAATGTTTACATGATAGCCAAGTTGATGAATAAATTAAGTTACAGAGTATCATCACATTACAATCTAGTCAGCTTTTATGTTTGCTTGGAAATCGCGAACTTAATAAGTGATGGCAATTGTAATCAATTAATTTTATAGTTTAATCTTAAGCCATCATTCAACTTTAATGCAGAAATCTTCATAAAAAATAAAAAAATATCCAAAACCAGGATTAATTTGTTACACATCATATGCATGTGTGTAAGCACTTAAGACCATAAATTCTCTAACAACCCTGACTGCAAATGAAAAATTTATCTTATTTCTGTCATAAGAAAAGAATAAAAAAAATCTGAAAAATAATTTTTCTTTTGTTTTTTAAAAAGACTGATTTAAATTAATTGAAAAAGTTTTATAGGTCACCATGAAGTGACTTTATGAAATGATAAAGAAATATTTTTGAAGAAAACTTTATGTCTCCAGGATGAATTTTTTTGTTGCTTTTATTTTATTTATTTTTGGGGAGAATTGTTAAATAAAAACAATTATAAAGAGGGAAGAAAATTCGTTGATATATTTGAGAGATGAGCCCCCGAGAATATATCAGTGAATCATGTTGAAATATTAAAAACAAAAAAGTTGTAAAAAATGTACAAAAAAATGTGAAGAAAGAAAAGTTGTCACAAAAATGAAGAAAAATTGTGAAAATTTAAATGTTTTAGTGATGAAAGAAACACAAAAAAAAAGTTTTTCTCAAAATGTTTTAAATTAAAATGAAAAAGTCAGAAGAAGACGAGAAAAAAAAATAAAGAATGTTGAAACATAAATTCTAGTTTTCTTCTTTCTTATCGTCTTTATTTTCAGCAGGAAGCTACCTTTTTAGTGCATTTTTACTTCGGAAGACATATGTGCTGTTATCTCTTGGTCTACATCTGTTAACAAGTCTGCAACTTTAAAGAATGGGCGCAGTCACACGAATTCGAAATAATATGGACACATTCACTTGATAACTATAAATAATTAGATTTTCAGACCTTCTTTCCTCATTTTTTCTGAACGCACCCGAAACATTTTTACAACGGTTGAAAAAAATCCAAATTTCGAAACGCACTCATCACGTGTTCACGTGTATATGAAATTAAAAAATCGTTAATTACAGCATAAATTCATTGTTTTAAACTTTTAGACTATCCGACTCTGAAATAAAAAGATAAATATGAACCAATAAAACAAACGAGAGCTTTATACGATGTCTGGTTCTCGAGAAATCAGTTTGCGACTAGCTTAAAGTGCCCCGGGTAGTCCTAGAAATCAACCCACTTAAAGTTAGGCATCATCAATAAAAGAAGAATGGATAAAGGATGTTTTAATGCTATGCTAAAGTTAAAGACGTTTTCAACAACTTTCTTATTTCCCCATCATTCAGTACTGACAGCAAAATCCTTTTCTTTCATTCAATCTACAGTAGTACATCAATACTATCTGTACCATGGATAAGTAATTGACATGAAAATTCAATTGAAATCAAAGTCAATATCAAAGCTATATAAAATAGAAGAAGACAGGAGATTCATCTGAGATTGAAGACAATAAGAATTGATTAATTTTATTGTAAAATTTTCAACATATTTTGTAAAGAACAGACTGAAAGGAAGCTCAATTGGAAGAAAGATTGAAAGGATGTACATTTTGAAAGTTGAATGAATCATGCCTCATTCAACATTTTCAATAAAAACTATAAAAATCTTTTTTAAAGTTCATTTATCTCTGCTTTTTTAACTCATTATAGTAATTAAAATAATGAAATTATTAATTAATTTTAATTCAAAAAGGTCGGAGGTTCGATTGATATTGATGTACAATTATTGAACATTTCAATTAATAAGACTCGCATGAATAAAGCTTAATTTTATGGTTTGCAATCGACAGGCATTAAAAATTATTTTAATGATAATTATGTGCTGTGGAATTTCAATTATGACATGACTTTCCTGCAGTTCATTTTTAATTCAACTTTTTTATTCTTTGGTTTTTAATTATAAATTATTGTAAATTATGCATTATTCTGACATATAATCAGCATTAATTTGTGATGTTATGGCGCCCATCTGTTCAGTGTTTTGACTTAGCGTGTGAAGGGAGCAGCAAAAGCAATGTTGTTCCTGGGACCTTAGCCGAAAATCGAACGAAAAAACAAAGATTCAAACAGTCAAGAACGCAAGCTTCTTCCCATAGTCTAAAATCCCTCAATGTTATGTCAACTGGAAACAAAACATCTCGCACATTGATATTCTTTCCTATAATGGATCATAAAAAGTATCGAAAATTTGCATTATAAAGGTTTTTTGTCTCAAGGACATTTTTAAAGCATGCAATTAATATTTAAATGATTTTAGCGCAGAAATTTAAGGCATCATTAATTATTCAAGGCAATTTAAGATTTTTGCCAACATCCTTTTGCAGAATTGAAATTGAATCTTCTAAGAAATACCATCCCGGAATTTCAATAATGAACCTTCATTGGGGTTAAATTTATATCTTACATAAATTTTAATTGGATCTGAAAACTCATCAGACCAAAGAATAGGAAAGATAAATGTCTGAAGATTGCTTCTTATTTTTTTGGGAATTTTTTAGCGCATTTTTGTATACTTGTATACAAAAAGGGAGCTGAATAATGCACTTTGTTCGTTCGTTCGTTCGTTCGTTCGTTCGTCTTAAGAAAAACTTTTAAATCAGACATCGGAGAGAGCTCAGGTTTGTTTTATTAGCTCCGTTACTATTATTTATTGTTCGATCGAACAGTTAAAAGTCTTAAAACAGTGTATTTATGCTATAATTAATGATTTTTTTATTGCATAAACAAAACCACGTGATGAGTACGTTTAAAAAATTCAACATTACCTTTATAATTTCAAATTTTTCGAACGAACGAACATTTCGCATTATTAAGCTCCCTTTTTGTATACAAGTATACAAAAATGCGCTAAAAAAAGGTTAACTGTAACTTGAAATCACCACCACATGCAAACGATAAACTACTCCAAAGTTGAGGATAGTAAAAATCACAAAACTTAAAAGGAATCCAGTCTCCATGTATTCAAATAAGCTCCACACATGAATCAACGTATTATCAATTAATTTACGTCAGCTCTACGCTAGATTCACATCAAAATGTACATTACCTCATTGTGGATGCTTTTATGCGTTGAGTGACCCGCTGCATCTAAAAATATGCATTTTCATATAAATAACGCATTTAATTCCAAAAGACACAAGCAACAAGCATACGTGAAAGATAATAAACCTCAAGTGATAATCGCAAATTCCTCAGATATTATTCGCGCAACATTTCCTCTGTTTAGCACTTTCTATTTATTTATAGAATTAATTAACATTTGTCAAAATAATATCAGATGATTTATTATGAATTATTTACTCATGCTGAAAATGGCTGTGATGAGCTTCATTTAATTTTATGTTTTATTAAAATTTATTCAGAATTATTCAGCGAGAGAAACAAAGAAAAATTTCTACAACTTGACATGTTCGCAAGGAATGGTGGATGTAACTCAAGGAGGTCCTCGGTTTTAATAATTTTATAAAAACATTTAAATTTCTAATATGCCATTTTCTATCTGCAGCCTCTGTTTTGCTTAAATTTGCAGATTAAATTCAATAAAGTTACATATATTAAAATAGAGGACCCCCTTGTGTGTAAATTTTGAAAATTCATAATGAGATTCATTAAGAATTCGCGTAAAATTTTCTTTTTTTTGTGCCTAAAGAACAAATAAAACATTTTGGTGATATCAAAATTTCGTGTATGTAGGAAGTCAAGTGATGGGGGAGGAATTACATGCTAACGTAATTTTAAAATGCAAATTATTCAACACAACTGTGTGAAAGTTCAGTTGATTTTATGCCAAATGAATTTGAATTTATTTAGCATATCCAAACATGTATGTTGTGCTGAAAATTGTTCATGTTTAATGAACCAACTTTCTCATTAGCTTTGCGTTCCTATTCGCAATTTTCACACAATCGAAAATTATAAAACTTAACATTAGCAACTCAGTGGAACAATAATTATTTTTGCATTTGTTTTTGAATTAAGCGTGAGTTTGTGTAAACTTTCAAAGCGC